CCACATCACACACCGCCAAAAGATACTTCTCCTCTGCCGCCATATTTAGTTTCCTTCTATACATACACAATTATTCTTTGAGGCTACGCGCGTTCTGTGAGATCAAAGACTGGCGGGTTTCCCCTTCTTTTTTTTTCCTCTTGGCGAGATCAGATATCTTTGTAAACTTTAGAAAACCTTTGGACACTACCTCAATAGGGGTGAGTCGGGAGAGCCTGGCATATTTAAATGTATACACTAAACACGGGGATCTGCAACACCTTTTGGGTATAGTCAACATTTTATACAGTTATGTTGGGCCTATATATTGTAGAAATATTCAGACTTCTATAAGATGGGGTGATTTATAAAGACAATGTTCATAAAATTCTATAAAGTTGGTGGGTGGGACGTTGTATTGGAGAATGGTATTGCGAGGTTATATTTAAATCAAAATTAAATAATTTTAAATTATTTAAAGACTCATTCTCTGATTATTAGAGTTTTAAACTTTTTAGGACGACGAACTCTCGATAATCCGAAAGTCCTGAGATTGTTTCAGAGATGGTGTCTGTATAACCGTCCTCTCATCTTTGATGTACGACTAGTCGGGCAAAGTATTGGCCCCCTGTCAACACAGTCCCTACATATGCTTGGCTTTAAAAGACAGATGTACTCTACTTCACCTTATGACTTCTCTGAAAGTGGTTCCCTTTAAGGGTTAGACGGCCAATTAGGGTAGGTAAGGTAGAGTTTTCTTTTTTACTTGTCATTTCCACAATGCAATGTCAAACCGGTGGAACGGCGAGGCCAAGCGGTAGAGAGCTAGGGCTACCCCGAAAGTCTCGAGTTCGAACCCCCGACCATGTTAGTTTAACGTCTCTGAGTCCACCAGCTCAAATGGGTACCTAACTTATGTTAGGGAAAGTAAAGGCGGTTAAGCAAGTGCTGACTACACATTCCCTTCATATGCCGAGGTCAAGAATATGAACTCTACTTCATCTGCCCAATGGATCGCTAGGTCTGAAGAGGATTCTTTACTTTTAATGTCAAACCATTACCATAGCGGCGCTATGTACAAAATCCATAGTAAATCTAGTTCGCATTTTACCACCATGTGTCTTCAACAGAAAAAAAAAACTACATGTGGCATAATATGGAACGTCATCGGTATACAAGTGCACGATCTATTAAGGTCATGTATGTATAAAAAATGTATATCCCTCTCTCTTTAGCATCGTCCAGAATACAAACTGACGGTCTCCGCTGGTAAACCAACAAATATGTACTCAGAACGTAAACAAACAGACAGGGGGTAGCTAGAGAGGCCCCGGGACAGACACGGGATTAAAACATACCACAAGGATGGTAAATAGTTTGGGGGTAAGGTTGAGGTAATAGGGTATGGGCGTGGGAAGGGGGGTTAGAAACAAACAGCCGTAATACTAAGTTAATAGTGTACATTCTACGCCTTTCGGGTATTCCCGCTTGGCGTACAGAAACCGCAAATGTATACCAGGTCAGGTTTGGGGGGGGGGGGGGGGGGGGGGGGGGATATAGGTCAACCCGTATGAAAACAAACCCGGAGAACATACATTTGATGCCAGACTAGGGTCCGTCACCAACGTGGTTATAAGCTAAGTATACGTCCGTACCATCTGTCTGTAACAGCAACTTATTTTTTTTACTCACTGATTAGTAAGGGGGATGTAAGAAAAATTATGAGAGGGGGTGGGGGTGTAGACCATCTGGGTTTGGAGTGGGTTATCTCTCCGGGGTGAGCTAGAGTTGCGTCCCATTTGTACAAACAAGACCAACGTGGGTCTATTGTTTTCTTTCCAGGCGTCTGAATTAGGGGGGTCAGTGTTGATAGTTGTGGGTCCATAGGGGGGTTAGTGTTAGGTGGGTCCATAGGGGGGGTCAGTGTTAGGTGGGTCAATGGAGGGGTCAGTGTTAGGTGGGTCCATGGAGGGGTTAGTGTTGATAGTGGTGGGTTCATAGGGGGGTCAGTGTTAGGTGGGACCATGGAGGGGTCAGTGTTAGGTGGGACCATGGAGGGGTCAGTGTTAGGTGGGGTCCATGGGGGGGGGGGGGGGGGGGTTAGTGTTAGGTGGGTCCATGGGGGGGGGGGTTAGTGTTAGGTGGGTCCATGGAGGGGTCAGTGTTAGGTGGGACCATGGAGGGGTCAGTGTTAGGTGGGTCCATGGAGGGGTTAGTGTTGATAGTGGTGGGTTCATAGGGGGGTCAGTGTTAGGTGGGACCATGGAGGGGTCAGTGTTAGGTGGGACCATGGAGGGGTCAGTGTTAGGTGGGTCCATGGGGGGGGGTTAGTGTTAGGTGGGTCCATGGGGGGGGCCAGTCTTAGGTGGGTCCATGGAGGGGTCAGTGTTAGGTGGGTCCATGGAGGAGTCAGTGTTGATAGTGGTGGGTCCATAGGGGGGTTAGTGTTTGGTGGGTCCATGGAGGGGTCAGTGTTAGGTGGGTCCATGGAGGGGTCAGTGTTAGGTGGGTCCATGGAGGGGTCAGTGTTAGGTGGGTCAATGGAGGGGTCAGTGTTAGGTGGGTCCATGGAGGGGTCAGTGTTGATAGTTGTGGGTCCATAGGGGGGTTAGTGTTAGGTGGGTCCATGGAGGGGGTCAGTGTTAGGTGGGTCCATGGAGGGGTCAGTGTTGATAGTTGTGGGTCCATAGGGGGGTTAGTGTTAGGTGGGTCCATGGAGGGGTCAGTGTTAGGTGGGTCCATGGAGGGGTCAGTGTTAGGTGGGTCCATGGAGGAGTCAGTGTTGATAGTTGTGGGTCCATAGGGGGGTTAGATAGTTGTGGGTCCATAGGGGGGTTAGTGTTAGGTGGGTCCATGGAGGGGTTAGTGTTAGGTGGGTCCATGGAGGGGTCAGTGTTAGGTGGGTCCATGGAGGGGTCAGTGTTAGGTGAGTCAATGGAGGGGCCAGTGTTAGGTGGGTCCATGGAGGAGTCAGTGTTAGGTGGGTCCATGGAGGAGTCAGTGTTAGGTGGGTCCATGGAGGAGTCAGTGTTAGGTGGGTCCATGGAGGAGTCAGTGTTAGGTGGGTCCATGGAGGAGTCAGTGTTAGGTGGGTCCATGGAGGAGTCAGTGTTAGGTGGGTCCATGGAGGAGTCAGTGTTAGGTGGGTCCATGGAGGGGTCAGTGTTAGGTGGGTCAATGGAGGGGTCAGTGTTAGGTGGGTCCATGGAGGGGTCAGTGTTAGGTGGGTCAATGGAGGGGTTAGTGTTAGGTGAGTCAATAGGGGGGTTAGTGTTAGTTGGGTCCATGGAGGGGTCAGTTTTAAGTGGGTCCATGGAGGGGTCAGTGTTAGGTGGGTCAATAGGGGGGTTAGTGTTAGGTGGGTCCATTGAGGGGTCAATGTTAGGTGGGTCAATGGAAGGGCCAGTGTTTGGTGGGTCCATGGAGGGGTTAGTGTTAGGTGAGAACATGGAGGGGTCAGTGTTAGGTGGGTCCATGGAGGTATCAGTGTTAGGTGGGTCCATTGAGGGGTCAATGTTAGGTGGGTCCATTAAGGGGTCAATGTTAGGTGGGACCATGGAGGGGTTAGTGTTAGGTGGGTCCATGGAGGGGTCAGTGTTAGGTGGGTCCGTGAAGGTCTCCATTTTGGGAGGGACATTGACGGGTCAATGATAAGTGGGGCCATGGAGGGGTCAGTGTTAATTGTTGTGAGTCCAAATAGGGGTTAGAGTTAGGTGGTTCCCTGAAGGGGTTACTGTTAGGTTTGTCTATGGAGGGGTCAGTGTTGGTTGGAGCCATGGAGTGGTAAAGTTAGTTGGGTCAATGAAGGGGTCAGTGTTGGTTGTGGTTAGTTCACGATACTATAAAAACGGTATAATCCACTTCCATATTAAGTAGAGCTAAGGTTCCATTGACCACGTCATGAGGAAAACTGTACAGATTAGTGGCAGATTAGATGTAATAAGCCAGTGGTATCACAGTGGAGACGTCATTTGTTGACAAGGATCAGATAATGAGTTCAGGTAGGTATGAATCAAGAAATGACGTCACGTAGAGCGGAATTCACAAATGACGTCACAAAGAACGAAATCAACAAATGATGTCAATAGACCAGCACCTTCTTCTTCTTCGTTCTTAATTTTAAGTGTTGGAAGGGATCGAGCCTTATCTGCCAGACGGTTGAACTCGAGACTTTTTTTTTCGAATTTATCAACCATGGGCTTTTTTTGCCGACTCGACCACGCCTCTGTCACAATTAAGTGTCAACTGGTTATGCGCCATTGAGGCCATTGACTCCGTTTTCAGCCAGCTTTTCTTTTTGGATTTGCTTCCATAGCCTTTGTTTAACCAAGAACAAACTTCAAGGCAGCAGTTGTTTGATTTTGGAGTAGTCTCTCCTAGAAGAGCGGCTGTATCCAGCTAACGAGCCTCATCTGCCCGAGACTTTTCGGTTTAGCAACCATGAGCTTTACCGACTCGACCACGCCGCCCCCAGAACAGCACCAACAGTTGATATATCACGAATCGCCAGGCTCTAACTTGGGATACTTTGATATGATACTACTGTAGACTGATACTCTCTGAACTGTTTGACCACTTGACCACTGGTCGAAAGAGAAAAGCGGTGCCTGGTCGCTCAAAAATCTCTGCTGATACATAAAGACCTTTATTTAGTCTTTTTTATCTAGGACTGCTTAAAGTAAGCTATCTGCTCATAAACACCCAGAATACGGATCTGAGGGAGATGTACCTCCCCCCCCCCCACACACACACGCACACACCGCCTACCTCCACATACCATTCCTATCTGGAATTACTAAATAAGTAACATGTTTAGGAGAATATATCCAACAACTAAAAAAAAAGACTTAATAAATTTCATTATTAATTAGGACGTATTAAAAATCCCTCGTAATTAAACGAGTTTTTAATGACATCACTTATTATTTCAACAATTTTAAAGCTTTGAAGTAACGACGACCTTAGCAAGAAATTTACCCGTACTCCTAATGTCAACATTAGTTTACATTTATCAATTTTAAAAAGTACTTTACGTCTGCGGATAACTTATAGAAAAGTCTAAAAATAAAACAAAATGGCAGCCACAGACGAAACCACATCCACAGCCAAGCAGAACATTTGGCAGTAAACCTCACTCTAATTCCGACTCCGTCGAGAAATGTTGGTTCTCTCCCTCTAATCTATTTATAGTCGTGAAATACTAGCAGTTTTCCCGTCTAATCGTCGAGCTCGTGTCAATTACATTTCATCATTATAACTTCATTAGCGGCTCTTCCTTTCATTTCTAGAATTCTTCTCCGTTTTTTTTTTAAACAACAAAAAAAAAAAAAAAAGCTAATTCCGCAAATCGCAAAATGAATACTGTGATCGTGCTAAGCAGTAAAGGTATTTAAGAACATTTTAACCTGTGCTGATTAATACTGCATATATCTCTCTGGTTTTTTATTTTAATTTATTTTTTTTACATTGATTGATAGTTTTAAATTGTTTCTAAAAGATCAATTACCGATTTTTTAAATATTTTTTTTATCGCAAAGAAACTTTCAACTTTTATTTTTGAAATTGTGCTTCCACAACCTTTCTCTCTTTCCCCCCCCCCCCCCACCCCCTACCAATCTAATCTCTGTTAACAATTTGAACGAGTTTCAAAGTTAAAAAAACTAGACCACAGTTGAATTAATTTCAAAGATGGAAATATTTTTTTTAAAGATTGTTTCGTAAAAACCTGGCAATGTTTTAGAGTTCAAGTCCTGAATGAGATTCCATATTTTTTTGTTGTAAGTGCTCCTTTCGCACGTTACGCAATCCTCTCTCTCTCTCTCTCTCTCTCTCTCTCTCTCTCTCTCTATATATATATATATATATATATATATATATATATATATATATATATATATATTTATATATAGGCCCCTACATATATATATATATATATATGTAGGGGCCTATATATAAATATATATATATATATATATATATATATATATATATATATATATATATATATATATATATATATGTAGAGTCCTATATATATATATATATATATATATATATATATATATATATATATATATATGTAGCGGCCTATATATATATATATATATATATATATATATATATATATATAGCGGCCTATATATATATATATATATATATATATATATATATATATATATATATCGCCCCAAAGAAAGCCGGTTGGTTAATGAAAATCTCATCTAACCGGGATTCGATCTCTGGCCACACTGAAGTGGTTGCCAAGGACAACAGACCAGCCAATTACCGACCGAGTCTTCCAACGCTACACCAACAGCACAAACGTAACTGAACGATTTAATTGGACACAAAAAAGAGTGCAATGAAAATAATCTGAACGCTTTATAAATGTTACCCATTTCAAAGTTCGGCCTCAAAAGAAATAAATTCAGGATGATAGTGGCTCTTGTTTATGTGATCTCTTATAAACAAAATCCGGGCTTTGTAAAAAAAAAAAAAGAAAGAAAAAACTATGGAGATAATACACAAACAATTAAAGCACTAAATGGAAAAAAATTGGAATCAGCTATTCAGGGCTAACGAGGGTCTCAAGGCAGTTTTAATACTTCAAAGAGCGGGGGGAGAAATTCAAGCACCGGTTTTGTTTGCGGAGGTGCGTAATTAAAGCGCATCAAGGTGCGCATCCTGTATACATATCAGTGCTGGTTGCTAACAGTGGATGAGGGAATCTGGTGGGGGGTGGGGGGGGGGGGGTGTTGGTTTCTTTTTTTAGGGTAGTGGGCTGTATAGGGTAGTGAGTTGTTAAGGGCAGTTTGTTGGTGTATGTAAAAAGGTATTTGGTGTAATATGGTGTATAGAGTAATGTCTGGGGTAGGTTTTTGATGTATGTGGACAGGTGAGATTTAGTGAACTGTGGTGTATAGGGTTAGGTGATGTTTAGAGCAATTTTTTGTCTATGTTATAAGGTGGTGTTAGTGTGTTATTGTGTGTAGAGAAGAGTAATGCTCAGGCTAGTTTTTGTTGTATAGGGAAAGGTATGGTATAATTTAGTGTAGTGTGTTGGGTAATATGGTGTTTTGGGTAACCAGGTGTGTACGTTAATGTGATTTGTATGGTGGTATAATGGCCCGTATAGTTTGTTGTTTATGGTAAGGTGATATTTAGTATCAAATGGTGTTTGGAATAGTAAGATACTTATGGTAGGTCGACTTTTATGGTAGGGCACATGTAGGGTACATATAGGGCACCTTTAATGTACATATAGGGTATTTATAGGGTACATATATATGTCACATATAGGGTACATAGAGGGTATTTATAAGGTACAAATATTGTACATATTGGGCACATATAGGGTACATATCAGTCACATATAAAGTGCATATTGGATAGTTTCGTGGTAGTTCAGATAGACGTTTCAGGTGAGGGGACTGAGAAAACGATTCATGGAGTAGCCAGATAAATATATCTGTTTATGTCAATGACTCTATAGTCTGGAGCTTCGAATAAAAGAAAAGGTGGGGATTAAAAAATTAAAACAGATAAGTGCAAACAAAAAGTAAGAAAAAAATGGCATTGAATTTTACATTTTGCATTTGAATAATATCATGCATATTATCATACCTACTTATTAATACGTAAGCTACATTAAACTTTTCATGCAGTCTGATGTTATATTTCATGGACCACCAAGTATTTGCACTACAAGTAACACCTTTAAGTTCATAAGTCACGCACCAAAAAGGCGTGCAAAAAGCTCACGAATACACAACATATGAATACGTCAAGAAAATGTCAGAATCAAGAGGATCGTGTTACTAGGCTAGAGTTTCACCACCACAATCTCGCAGTATCATGTGTATTTTTTTGTAAACAATCAAAGTCTGAAATTATTGTTTAGATTTTCAGAGTGCGAGTTTACATTGAAAACTAACCGCATGTTTATTTAAGAGACCTGATTTAGGGAAGAGGTGAGCAGTGCGTGGAAATTATTGACGGGGAGGGGAATGAGGGGGGGGGGGGGGCTATGTTAGATACCCATTCGGACGGGGCAATTCTAGAGTAGATAGGTTCATCTATTACTGTGGACTATGCATAAAGAAGGAGATATCGTGGTCATAAAAAAAAACGATATAGTTTGGTCAATTATTTTCCAAACTGGTCTAACTTCCCCTAACGTGAGGATGGACTCTATCAGAACTTTATGGACTCAGTGATGTCCTACGGACTGAAGTCCGGGATCCGAACTTGGAACTGTTTGAGCCACCAGTCGTAAGCTTTGCCGTCCGACTTCGTGCGCCTGTTTAACAAAGCAGGGTAAGGGTCTAGTTAGTTAAATTGTAATCAGGGTAAGGGTCTAGTTAGCTAAATTGTAATCAGGGTAAGGATCTAGTTAATAAGATGCAGACAGGAGAGGCTGTGTGTAAATGACGCCATACAACAAGGGAGGCAAGTTCAGATTAATGTAACGATGTAATTTGTAATAGACTTGCTTGTTACTTTCTCGTATATACGAAGTATAGAGAAAGTATTGTAATCGTGCACAAAAATAACATGAAATTTTGACAGTTTTTACCGTTTTACTCCTCAGTCCTTCATCACATCCGGAGTATAGAGGACTTAT